ACTTCTATGCAGAGTATTATCCTTCAGGAGTCTCTCACAGTTAAGGGCTGTCATCAAGAGCATTTGATTGATGCTCCTAACTTGCCTGGGATTTGTAGGACAGAATCAAGTAGACTCCACTGACCTCACTGAGGCCATAGGCATAATGCCCAACTCTTATCTCCATAAACCTTGGGAGTTGGGCAGCAATGGGTGCTTCTGCTTGGCTTGATGCATCTCATCCTTAAATTCTTTTCAGAGGAGACATCTGTATTCCTTGTTTGTATAAATGTATGTATGTTCATGTTTGCCACTGTTTGGAGGCCAGGGGCTTGATACTGTTTTCAGCAGTCTCCATCTCATATTTTGAGATAAGTCTTCTCTGTGAATATGGGATTTATAATTTGGCTAAAATGGCTGACCACTGAGTCCCAGAGATGCCCTAGTCCCTTCTTTCCCAGTGCTGACATTTATGTTTCTTATGTTGATGCTGGGAATATGACCCCCAGTCTCATGATTGCACAGCAAGTAATTATGTCTACTAGGTAACCCTTTAAAAAAACTTTACATGCATCATGTCTGTGTGGCCAATGAGCTAAGAAGGGAGCAGATCCCCTGGAGCTGGTAGTTACAGCCAATTTGGAGCCACTTGATGGGAGCTTGGGAACAAAATTTATGTTCTTTGTGAGCAACAAAGAGATCTTAACTGCTGAGCCATTATCTTTATAGCCCCTTGCCTGCTGATTTAAAAGAACACTCAACTTGGGGCTAGATCAGTGGGTAAAGGACCTTGCTGCCACATCTGCCAACTTGGGTTTGAACTCTAGATCTCATGTGGTGGGAAGACAGAATCAACCCCCTCATGTTGTCCTACTGACCTCTCTGTACCAGCTGTAGATGTGAATAGTAGAAAAACGTGATACAAAACTCAACTGACTTGACTCAGGACCTCCCTATTGTTTTTCTGAAGGCATCTGCTCCACTTGGAAACTCCATTGAGGTACAGATTGCAGTTCAAAAAGGCACAACTCACCACAGACTTTGCAATTTACTCTTTGGGTTCTTCAAAGCGTCACACAGAAACTTTGCACCTGTGGCTCCAATGTGATTTAGCCCCAGATCCAAGTGCTTCAGGCTCTGTGTTTGTCTTAGCATCTTTGAGAGATGGACGCAACCATTGCTGGTGATGTTACAGGACCACAGTCTGGAAAATCACATGCACAGGGACAAAAACCAGAAACAAATAAATACCTTAGTCCATTCTGGGATGATGCACCCAAACCACAACCTTCTACCATTGGTTTCAATCAAGCTTAGAGACATTGTGATAAATGATATTGGAATGAAATCATAGAGTGGATTTCCATACGGGCTTCTCAAAAACTCTTCCTTCCCATAGAGAAGTTAGAAAGGCGTGAATTATGATTAAAACACATTGTATATATAATATGAAATTCTCAAAGAAATAAGTAAATAAAATTGGTATGAAATGAACACTCATGCTGCTTTTGTCTACCAAGACAGCTACCTGTGGCTAGTAGAGGACAAAGACCCCAGAGGAGAATGAAAAGGGCACATCTTTAAGGGATACACAGTTTCCAACAATCTCTTAAATGATTATGCTCATAGGTAAATACAGCACTTATCCCCAAACAGAGAAACCATAAAATTTGTAGTATTATATGGATGGGGCATAGATCAGTGGTGAGTTCCTAGCATAGTGCATATACATAGTAGGTGCTTCATAAATGCTGACAATTACTTCATGGCTGTGTTTGGTGATCTTAAGGTAATGAGTTTTCACCCTCGCTTTGTCCTTTTGGCTGGAGCAGACAGCTAGCTGGTCTGGTCCCGTGAAGACACCATATCCTGAGACATCCTAGAGGAGCCACTGCACTCAGAGCAGCAGATACCTAGCTGGTCTGCTCCTGGAAGACATCATATCCTGAGCCATCCTAGAGGAAACACTGAACTCAGAGCAGGGAAGGAACCAGTGCACTCAGAGCAGCAGGATTTTAGGATCCCAGAGGTAGCCTGAGTCCCAGGAGTTCTTCCACACAGAAGCTCAGGATCACAGGATCACAGAGACATCTGGATTCTGAGGAGTTTTGACACAAGCATGATAACTGGAAAAACAGGCTCCAGTCAGAGACAGTGAATACAGGTAGTACTAGAGTTAATCAGATGGCAAAAGGTAAGCACAAGTACATAAGCAACAGAAATCAAAGTTACCTGGCATCATCAGAACCAAGTTCTCCCACTGTAGCATGTCCTAGACACCCCATCACACCAGAAAAGCAGGATTCAGAATTAAAATCACTTCTCATGATGATGATAGAGGACTTTAAGAAGGACATAAACAACTCCCTTAAAGAAGTACAGAAGAACACAGGTAAACAGGTATAAGCCCTTAAAGAGGAAACACAAAAATCCCTTAAAGAATTACAAGAAAACACAACCAAACAGGTGAAGGAATTGAACAAAGCCTTCCAGGATCTAAAAATGGAAGTAGAAACAATAAAGAAATAAAAAACAGGGACTACAATGGAGATAGAAAACTTAGGAAAGAGCTCAGGAGTCACAGACGCAAGCATCACCAACAGAATAAAGAGACAGTAGAGAGAACCTCATGTGCAGAAGATACTATGGAAAACACTGACCCAACTGTCAAAGAAAATGCAAAATGCAAAAAGCTCCTAACCCAAAACATCCAGGAAATCCAGGACACAATGAGAAGACTAAACCTAAGGATAATAGGTATAGATGAGAGTGAAGATTCCCAAATTAAAGGGCCAGTAAATATCTTCAACAAAATTATAGAGGAAAACTTCCCTAACCTAAAGAAAGAGATGCCCATGAACATACAAGAAGCCTACAGAATGCCAAATAGACTAGACCAGAAAAGAAATTCCTCCTATCACATAATAATCAAATCATCAAATGCACAAAACAAAGAAAAAAAATACTAAAAGCAGTAAGGGAAAAAGGTCAAGTAACATATAAAGGCAGACCTATAAGAATTACACCAGACTTCTCACCAGATACTATAAAAGTCAGAAGATCCTGGACTGATTATTATACAGACCCTAAGAGAACACAAATACCAGTCCAGACTACTATCCTCAGAAAGACTCTCAATCACTATAGATGGAGAAACCAAGATAATCCATGACAAAACCAAATTTATACAATATCTTCCCACATATCCAGCACTACAAAGGATAATTGCTGGAAAACTGCAACACAAGCAGGGAAACTACAACCTAGAAAAAGCAAGAAAGTAATCTTCCAACAAACCCAAAAGATAGCTAGCTACACAAACATAATTCCACCTCTAATAACAAAAATAACAGGAAGCAACAATCACTTTTCCTTAGTATCTCTTAACATCAATGGACTCAATTCTCCAATAAAAAGATGTAGACTAACAGATTGGATATGTAAACAGGACCCAAATTTTGCTGCATACAGGAAACGCATCTCAGTGACAAAGACAGACATTACCTCAGAGTAAAAGAACAGAAAACAATTTTGCAAGCAAATAGTCCCAAGAAGCAAGCTGTAGTAGCCATTCTAATATCAAATAAAATCAACTTTCAACCAAAAGTAATCAAAAAAAAATAAGGAAGGATACTTCATACTCAAAGGAAAAATCTACCAAGATGAATTCTCAATTCTGAACATCTATGCTCCAAATGCAAGGGCACCTACATACATAAAAGAAACTTTACTAAAGCTCAAAGCACACATTGCATCTCACATAATAATAGTGGAGGATTTCAACACCCCACTCTCAGCAAAGGACAGATCACTGAAACACAAGCTAAAGAGAGACACAGTGAATTTAACAGAAGTTATGAACCAAATGGATTTAACAAATATGTATAGAACATTTCATCCTAAAACAAAAGAGTATACGGTTTTCTCAGCACCTCATGGTACCTTCTCCAAAACTGACATATAATTTGTCACAAAACAGGCCTCAACAGATACAAAAAGATTGAAATAATCCTTTGCATCCTACCAGATCACCACGTACTAAGGCTGGTCTTAAATAATAACAAAAACAAAGGAAAGCCCACATACACATGGAAACTGAAGAAAACTCTACTCAATGATGACTTGGTCAAGGAAGAAATAAAGAAATTAAAGACTTTCTAGAATTTAATGAAAATGAGGACACATCATATCAAAACTTGTGGGGTACAATGAAAGAACCCCTAAGAGGAAACTCATGACTCTAAATGACTACAAAAGGAAACTGGAGAAAGCATACACTAACAACTTGACAGCACACCTGAAAGCTCTAGAACAAAAAGAAGCAAATACACCCAAGAGGAGTAGAAGGCAGGAAATAATCAAACTCAAGGCTGAAATAAACCAAATAAAAACAGAAAGAACTATACAAAGTATCAACAAAACCAGGAGTTGGTTCTTTGAGAAAATCAACAAGATAGATAAACCCTTAGCCAAACAAACCAGAGGGCACAGAGACAGTATCCAAATTAATAAAATCAGAACTGAAAAGAGAGACATAACAGAAACTGAGGAAATTAAAAAAATCATCAGATCCTACTATAAAAGCCTATACTAAAATAAACTGGAAAATATGGATGAAATGGACAATTTTCTAGGCAGATACCAGGTCCCAAAGTTAAATCAGGAGCAGATAAACCATCTAAACAGTCCCATAACCACTAAAGAAATAGCAGCAGTCATTAAATTCTCCCCACCAAAATAAGCTCAGGACCAGATGGTTTTAGTGCAGAATTCTATCAGACCTTCAAGAAAGACCTAATACCAATTCTCTTCAAACTATTCCACAAAATAGAAACAGAAGGAACACTACCCAATTTGTTCTATGAATCCACAATTATGCTCATACCTAAACCATACAAAGATACAACAACAAAAAAAGAAAACTTCAGACCAATCTCCCTTATGAATATCAATGCAAAAATACTCAATAAAATTCTCACAAACCAAATAAAAAAACACATCAAAACAACCATCCATCATGAACAATTATCCCAGGAATGAAGGGATGGTTCAATAGTTAGAAATCCATCAATGTAATCCATTATATAAACAAACTCAAAGGAAAAAAACCACATGATCATCTCACTAGATGCTGAGAAAGCATTTGACAAAATTCAACATCTCTTCATGGTAAAAGTCCTGGAAAGATCAGGAATTCAAAGCCTATACCTAAACAAAGTAAAAGCAATATACAGCAATCCAGTGGCCGACATGAAAGTAAATGGAGAGAAACTTGAAGCAATCCCACTAGAATCAGGGACTAGACAAGGCTGCCCACTCTCTCCCTACCTATTCAACATAGTACTGGAAGTCCTAGCCAGAGCAATTAGACAACAAAAGGGAGTCAAAGGGAAGAAAATAGGAAAGGAAGAAGTCAAAATTTCATTATTTGCAGATGATGTGATAGCATACTTAAGTGACCACAAAAGTTTACTAGCAAACTCCTAAACCTGATAAACAACTTCAGTGAAGTGGTTGGATATAAAATTAACTCAAACAAATCAGTAGCCTTCCTCTACTTGAAGGATGAACAGGCTGAGAAAGAAATTAGGGAAAAGACACCCTTCACAATACTCATAAGTAATATAAAATACCTTGGTGTGTATCTAACCAAGCAAGTGAAAGATCTGTATGACAAGAACTCCAAGTCTCTGACAAAGAAATTGAAGATTTCAGAAGACGAAAAGATCTCCCATGCTCATGGATTGGCAGGATTAATATAGTAAAAATGGCCATTTTGCCAAAAGCAATCTACAGATTCAATGCAATCCCCATCAAAATTCCAACTCAATTTTTCAGAGTTAGAGAAATTCTCAAAATCATTTGGAATAACAAAAATCCTAGGATAGCGAGAACTATTCTCAACAATAAATGATCTTCTCGGAGAATCACCATAGTGATAAAACCTGCATGGTATTGGTATAGAGACAGGCAGGAAGATCAACGGAATAGAATTGAAGACCCAGAAATGAACTCACACACCTATTGTCACTTCTTTGACAAAGGAGCTAAAACTGTCCAGTGGAAATAGGACAGCTTTTTCAACAAATGGTGCTGGTTCAACTGTAGGTCAGCATGTAGAAGAATGTAAATTGATCCATTCATATTTCCATGTACAAAGCTCAAGTTCGAGTGGATAAAGGACCTTCACATAAAACCAGACACACTGAAACTAATAGAAGAGAAGGTGGGGAAGACCCTCGAATCTTTGGCACAGGGGAAAATTTCCTGAACTGAACACTAATAGCTTAAGCTCTAAGATCAAGAACTGACAAATGGGACTCCATAAAATTGCAAAGCTTCTGTAAGGCAAAGGACACTGTCAATAGAACAAAACAGCAGCCTACAGATTGGGAAAGGATCTTTACCAATCCCACATCTGATAGAGGGCTAATATCCAATATATACAAAGAACTCAAGAAATTAGGCTCCAGACAACCAAATAATCCTATTAAAAATGGGGTACAGTGATAAACAAAGAATTCTCAACTGAGGAAGCTCGAATGGCTGAGAAGCACCTAAAGAAATATTCAGTATCCTTAGTCATCAGGGAAATGCAAATCAATACAACCCTGAGATTCCACCTCACACCAGTCAGAATGGCTAAGATCAAAAACTCAGGTGATAGTAGATGCTGGTGAGGATGTGGAGAAAGAGGAACACTTCTCCATTGTTGTTGGGATTGCGAGATGGTGCAACCACTCTGGAAACAAATCTGGCGGTTCATCAGAAAACTGGACATAGCATTACCTGAGTACCTAGTTATACCACTCCTGGGCATATACCCAGAAGATGCTCGAACATATAACAAGGACATATGCTCCACTATGTTCATAGCAGCCTTATTTATAATAGCCAGGAGCTGGAAAGAACCCAGATGTCCTTCAACAGAGGAATGGATACAAAAAATGTGGTATATTTACACAATGGAGTATTACTCAGCTATTAAAAACAATGAATTCATGAAATTCTTAGGTAAATGGATGGAACTAGAAAATATTATCCTGAGTGAGGTTACCTAATCACGAAAGAACACACATGGTATTTGCTCACTGATAATTGGATATTAGGCCAAAAGCTTGCAATACCCAAGATACAATTCACAGACCACATGAAGCTCATGAAGAAGGAAGACCAAGTGTTGGTGCTTCAGTCCTTAGAAGGAGTAACACAATATTCAAGGGAGCAAATATGGAGACAAAGTGAGGGACAGAAACTGCAAGAGTGGCCGTCTGGAGACTGCTACACCTGGGTATCCATCCCATGTGCAGTCACCAAAGGTAGATGCTGATGTGATATCAGAAAGTGCATGCTGTCAGGAGCCTGATATAGCTGTCTCCTTAGAGGTCTGCCATAGCCTGACATATAAAGAGGCTGATGTTCATAGCTAACCATTGAAGTGATCATGGGGTCCCCAATGGAGTAGTGAGAGAGAAGACTGAAGGAGCTGAAGGGGTTTGTAGCCCCATGCAGTGATCAACAATACCAACCAACCAGAGCTCCCAGGGTCTAAACCACCAGCCTGGGAACACATAGGGAGGGGCCCATGGCTTCAGGTGTATATATAGAGGTTGATGGCATTGTCAGGCATAGGTGGAAGAGGAAGTCCTTGGTCTAGTGAAGGCTGGATGCCCCTGTGTCGGAGAATTAGTGGGTGAGGAGTTGGGAGTTGGCTGGTTGGTTGGGGCACATCCTCATAGAAGCAAGAGCAGAGAGTGGGATCGGGGCTTCCTGGGTGGAAGGGAAATAGGGAAAGAGGATCACATCTGAAAAGTAAATAAAACATCCAATAAAAAGAAGGTAATTAGTTTTCTTTGGTGATTATTTTTTGGGCGGAGTGGGGGGAAGAGATCAAGTCTTACTCTGTAGCATAGGCTATGATCCTCCTACCTTTGACTTCCAAATGTTAATTTTACATGCATGTACCATCCTTCCTGTACTGATGATAGTACCTTCTTGCAAAATAGGGTCAAAGTATGTCTAGTTAGGAGGATAGGTTCTTCATGGCTTTGGACTTCAGTGTTTGGTTGTGTCTTATGTAGTGTATTATTGGGGAGTTCTTTCCTTCCATCTACCCCTAACCGTGAACTCAGCATTTCGTCACATTTACATAACCAAGTAATTATCCGACTCTGCCTATCTAACATTATTACAAAGGTTCAAACTATAGGAAAAGCTGACAGCTACCCTTCTTCCTTCCTTTACTTCTTCCCTCCTCCTCCTCCGTCCTTTCATGATGTTGAGGAAGGAACTCTAGACCTCATACACAAAGTCCCCTATTTAGTTTTTGGTCAACTTGACAGAAGCTAGAGTCATCTGGGAAGAAGAAACCTCGATAGAGAAAGTACCTCTAGAAGACTGTCTTGTAGGCAAGTCTGTAAACCTTTCCCTTAATTAATGGTTGATGCGGGAAGGCCCCAGCCATTGTACGTGGTACCACTCCTGGGGAGGTCATACCACTCCTGGGGAGGTGGTACTGGGTTGTATTAAAATCAAAGTGAACTATCCAGTAAGCAGAGCTTCTTCTATGCCTCTGCATCAAATCCTTCATCCAGATTCTGCCTTGCTTTCATTCATGATGGACTACCAGATGTAACATGAAACAAACCCTTTCCTCCCCAAGTTGCTTTTTCTCATAGTGTTTATTATAGTAATAGGAAGCAAATAACAACAAACTGTTCTGGTGACTCTCATCCCAACAGAGCCAGTGTTTACATGTTGGAAGTGACCTCTCTGTTACCCAGTATAGTAGTGTCAATGCTAAACACAATCTCTGTGGTACAGCCCCATTATTCTTTGGAAACTAATGTTATGAAACTTCTCTTTGCAACAATAAGAGACCACTGAAGATCATCACAACCAATGAAATTGCAGAGTTTTGGAGCTCAGTTTCAATGGATGTATCTTCAAAAAACTCCTGCACCTGAGGGCCAGGGGAGGTTGCAGAAGAGGGGATGGAAAGATCAACAGAGCCAGAGGGTCAGGAAGTTTATTATGAAACCGTATCTCCTAGTAATGTCAGAATCTACACTCAAAGTCTCACCAACATGACTGCCCAAACATGAGCTGACTAAATAAGGATGATACGAATGAACAAGCAAAACTGGATAGGGAAAAGCCCATGAAGCCTCAACACTTCACAAAGAACAGTAGGCAACTAAGGAAAGCTGGAAGCAATAGAGGTGGTCTATCCTCAGGGACCAGTGCCAAGTGATTAGCCCTGAACACATACCTACAAATAACATTATATGGTATCAACAGGATAAATATAAATACATACACACATACACACACACACACGTGTGTGTGTGTATATATATATATGTATATATACATATCTGCATACAATAATAATTCATGAGAAGAAGCCATAAATTTTAAGGAGAATAGGGAGGGGATATATGGTAAAGTTTGGAGGGAAGAAATGGAAAGGAGAAATATTGTAATTATATTTTAATCTCAAAAAATTATGTTAAAAAATAGAATGGATCCTACATATTCCAGGATAAAAGCCAAGGTCATATTGAGCTTGTCAAGTTGATTTCACCTCTACCCAACCATGTATACTCTACATTACATAGTGCTAAAACCACAGGCTTGAAGAGGATGTTAGGCTGGGGTTGGTGGCACAGCAGTTGGGAGTCTGAAACAAGATTGTTTTGAATATAAAGCCAGCTTGGGCGACACAGTAAGATTTTGTCTTACAAAAAGTCAGAAACCATGTAAGAGCTGGAGGGTGGGGAGGAGTACTGGAAATAGTGTCTTCTGGACATGACATGCTGCAGCACACATGAAGTCACCGCAGCCATGGTTATCTCCTGAAGACCAAATACCACACGTTTGGGGGAGGGGTTCTGAGGACCATCTCTCACTACAAAAAACTTTTAGTAGTTGATGGCTTCTGGAGGAGGTAGAGTCACTATTCTTTGGGAGATGCCTACTTGTAGGCTGTCTGTCCCTCAAGTGGATGATCCCACACCTCCGTTCGTGTCACTAGTACTAATTGGACTCAATAGGTCATACTTTACAAAAAATTAAAAGCAGAAGAAAGCCCAGGTATGGGGCACACCCTTATAATCCAGGTACTTGGTAGGAAAAGCATCAGGAGAGTTCAAAGTATGGTATACAGTGAATTCTAGGCCAACCTGGGATACATAAGACACCATCTCAACCAAAATCAAAACCAAAAAGGAAGTCAGATCTGGAAACCAGTTCTTCCTCTCAATTCCCTATAGAATATTAACATTACATATTCTATAATGGCAGAAATACTGAAGCTACGGCTTTACTTATGCTGTATGTAACCATTACCACTGGGGTGTACCTCCAGCCAATGCCATTCTCCTATTCTATCACTTGTGCCCTTCCCAGCCTTGAGCAGACTGAACAGACCTTGCTTGTCACACAGGACCTTAACACCTAGGTGAAGTCAGCCGCTTTGTTTACACTTGTAACTTCCTGCAAGATCTTAGAATAACAGACTGCCCACTGACCCTGCTCTGCAACATAATCCAGCTGAAACAAAGGATGGGTTTGGTGGGCTTCCCCTATATAAACTCAGTGCTGAATATTAAACTTGGAGCTTTGATCAGAACTTTGTCTTGGCTTCATCCTTCTATCACCCCCCCTCCCCAGGTCTCTTTCATTTCTAACCTGGCTTTCAGGTAAACCCAGTTCATCCATGGCCACGAATGGCTACAATCATTCACCTGGAAGATCTTAGCATAGTATTTGTGGTAGTTAGGATAATCCTGAATTACTTTCATATGTATCCTTCTCTCTCTCTCTCTCTCTCTGACACACACACACACACACACACACACACACACACACACACACCTGCAATGCCTGCAGGCAGAGAAGACTTACACTAAGGTCTGTAGTTTGCACTCGGGGTAGCTTAAGCTTTCACACAGGTTTTTCACTCCGTTATCCCCAAGTTCATTCCTGGCCAGGCTGAGGTGTGTCAGAGTCTGACTGACCATCAGAATGGAAGAGAGGTCCTTGCAACAGTCTTCAGAGAGATTACAGTTCTCCAACCTGTGGATGAATCACACAGCTGGACCAAACAAGACTGGCTCTATCAACAATAAGTCTAGGAAGGAGAGAGGCTCAGAGGGCCCCACCGAAGTCAACTGTTGTCCATGAATAGATTTTAGGAGGAGGAGGATTACTAGCCTTAGGTGTGTCTCCTCTGCTGAGCCTGTCAGGCTTCAACACATAGCTATGAACTCCACAGACTTACATGTGGCCCTAGTTATCTTGGTGGGTCATAAAATAAGATGAATAGGTATAAATGAGAGAGATTTGTCAGGAGGGTAGACTGGAAGGTGGTGGTGGTGGTGAGAATGTCCAGTATGCATAGTGCACAAGTGTAAAACTGTTAAAAATTTCCACCTAAAACAAGAACTCCAAACCAAGCCAAACTAATTAAACAAACAAATCATATATCTATTAAGACAGGAGAGGGCATTTCCAGCTGTCTCTAGAAGATAAACTCCTCAAGTTCTCTTGTTGATTTCCACCACACAGTTATAATCACATAAGGGATTTAGAGTTAGGAAAGCAATCTAAGACATCCTAAGACTAAGCCAGCTAAAATCCACCATGGATGAGGGAGGGGCTCATGGGGAGAAGCTATTGGCAGGTGATGGTTTCTGGGGGTAAGAAGAATCAAGTTTTCTTTAGGGTTGTGTCTCCTGAGAGGTGACCCATGCTCCAGTAGATTGTCTTACCCCATGTACAGTAAGTAGACTCAGTGGGCTTAAGCAAAGAGCATGTGAAGTTGGGAGATACTGGTGAAGACAGGACGGAGGGAATTCAGAGGAGAGAAAACGGGGATGAGTTTTATCAAGTGACACACAGACACACACATGCATGAAATTCTCAACAAAAAGGAGAAGAGAAAAATTAGTGAAGCACAGTCAAAAACTCAGAAGCAGGTGTCTGCATGGATGGGTGGGCTCATAGTGTTGGGAACAAAGAAACTTATTTCAAGTACTACCATTTAATTTTCAGACTCTGTTTAATCATAGGGAGAAACTGAATTCAAAGCCCCAGGCTCTAGGGGAGCTGGGGACTTCCCAATAGCTGAATGGCTTCTACTATAAGGAAGCAGTTGTCTGAGTCCAGATAGCTCAAGGGCAACTTCTCCATCTTGCTGGCAGGGTCCAACTAAGTCCATGTTCCCAACCCTAGGAACCTGATCGGTAAAAACTCTCTTGCTCAATCCCTTATACGATTGGGCAATACTACATACAGTGTACCCCACTGCCCCTCAACTTTGTGGTCTCATCCTTTAAATATGCTGTGCAATTTCTCTTCAGGATCATAGTTTAGCTCCTGAGTCTTTTCTGTGGCCCTGATTATAATAAATTTTTGTCATCTGCATTGACTAGTAGAGTTTTGTTGGATTTAAGTGGCTCCCACAACAATATAGGTTGTCTTGTAAGTGTGGAGTCAACCTTGCCTCTCCTGTCTATAGCTCCATGTCCAAAGAGATGTTCCATAGGAAGAGACAACATACTTACGATACCCTCTGCAGTATGCACTTGGGTTGCTTCCAAGTCTTACACAGCAGCTTAGTACCCTTGTCCAAGAGATTGTTGTCTGTGAGATCCAGATATATCAGGGATTCATTGACCTTCAGGGCTAGGAAGAAGTCATCCCATTTCTGAGCAGTAGTAGAACAAGATCCCAGGCTGTGGAAGAAATGAGAACAAGTATGCTCTGAATGGTCCAGAGAATGTTGTAGGTAGGATAGCTGTTTTTGCAGTTGTGAATGAGTTCAGTAAGTATATAGCAAGCCAAAGTAAGAGAACTAATTGAAAGAGATAGTTGAACATCAAATCAGGCTTACAAAAAGCTAGCAGAAATGGATTGTGGCTAATTGAAGGGATCGGATTGTTTTGGATCAAGCTTGGATGAACTTCCCACAGACAAACTTTTGAGTTTTCCTTCCTATCGTAGGAAGTAATGCTTTACTTCCTAGCTGTTCAAAGGCACAATGTTTATACACTTTGGCCATTTTGTGTTCTCCTTCCCTTGGTGAGTACAAAAACATGGTCTAAATTGCCTAGGTTCACCAAGTTTCATTCTCTTCCACATAATTTTTTGATCATGCACGCCTTTAATACTGGCACTCATGAGGTGGAGGCAGGCAGATCTCTGTGAGGTACAGGCTAGTATGGTCTACACAGTATGCTCCAGGCCAGCCAGAACTACACAGTGATATCCTGTCTCAAATTATTTTTTATTCTTTTAATATTTCATACAGATATATATCTTATTCACATTGTCTTCTACTAATCCCTACTGCCAAGTCAACAGGATTTCCACCCCAAATTCATGTTTCCTTTTAGTCCCACCCTTAGCTGAAGAGATATTAGCCATCAGTGCCTGCTTGGGGAGGGAGAGTAACTTTTCCCTTGGTGTTGTGACCACTAGTAGGTTGCTCATGCCTCAAGGATAGCCCCATACCCATGTGCATACATGTATTGCCAATTGTACTGCCATAAATTTATAAATATATAGATATAGTTTTGAGACATTATATATACCAGGCTTCCTTTTAGATCTACCTGCTTCTGCCTCCCAAGTTCTTGGATCAAAGGTATGCACCACCAAACCCAGCTTCATATATTATCTGTGAGACTGGGTCTCACTATGTGGATCTCAAGCTTTTAGTCCTCTGGCTTCAGTCTCCTCAGTCCCATGATTATAGGCAAGTGACAGATTATTATCTCTAATTTTATGTTGGAAACGATTGTATCTTAACATTGACTGTTTTAAGTTGATAGCCCACATGGAATGACACAGACATTTTTCCCATAGCTAAAACGTACTAAAGATGATGAAGAACTTCTCAGAGTTACATTGTAACTTATGTAACCAAATTAAATCAAGGTATCAGCGTATTATGTGCACTGCCAATTGCTTCCAACAATTACATACATTGAACTTACATGAAATTTCCTTTCATTTTGGGCATTAGCTTATTCATTTAAAGTGAAAATTGAGTCTCAAATATTCAAGTTATATACATTCCCTCCCAGATAATTCTCTCAGGAAAAGGAAAGAAGGTCATTCATTTTCCATGGGTAGTATTCACAGCAGTTACAATTTATCTCATGAGTTGTTTTACCTCATGTCCCAGTCCTTATGGATTGTATGTTATCCTCTTGACAAGAGGATCTAGAAAAATGCGTGACGATCACATACTGGGAAATACATAGGATAGTTTATAGCCTTACACTGTGTCCCTGCTACTGTTTCTGGTTCAAATGTGGTCATGTTAGGATCTGTAGCCCACAGGATGGAGGTAGTGGTATAAGCAGAAGAGAACATCCCAACAGCTGATATCCCAGTCAAGAGTGATGCCAGGGAAGGGATTAACTGATGGTCTGGAACATCTTTGCTGAGAAGAAGGGGTCTTCAAGCTTATGTTTAATAACAACCCGAGAAAAATATAACTACAACAACCATAAGAAAATGACCCAATAGAGCTGTTATTTAAACTCTAGGAGTTTCTTGATCATAGGGTTGTCATATATAGTTGTTTAGCTTGTTCAGAGCTCAGGGAAGATGAAGACTGAATTATTTTTCTATTTTCTAGTCTGTGCTCTGAATGTTGGTTTTGTCTGTCTGTCTGTCTCTCTCTCTCACACACACTCTCTAAGCATGAGCAATCTTATTAGGTATGGTGGGAGACAGAAAAGAAGTTCGGAGGTCCAGAAAAATGAATGGAAATATGGGGCTGCTGGAATGGGGTTGGGGAGAACCTCTAGAAAGTCCCAGAGACCTAGGATGTGAGAGGCTCCCTTGAGTCAATGGGGGTGATCTTAGCTGGAATGTCTAACAGTAGGGAGATGGAATCTGAAGAGACCACCTCCAGTAGTTAGACAGGGACTCTCAGTAGAGGGATGGGGATATCAAGTCACCTTCAAAATTTTTCACCCAGAATTTTTTCTGTCTAAAAGAAATTCAGGGGCAAAAATGGGGCAGAGACTGAAGGAATGGCCAATCAGTGACTGGCTGGCCCAACTTGTGATCCATTCCATGGACAGGCATCAAATCCTGACACTATTACTGATGCTATGTTGTGCTTTCAGACAGGAACCTCGCATGGCTGTCCTCTGACAAGCTCTACCAGGAACTGAGACATATGCAGATACTTAGAGACAACCACTGGACTGAGGTTGGGGACCCCTAAGGAAGAGTTAGGGGAAGTATTGAAGAAGCTGAAGGGAATGAGAAGCCCATAGGAAGACCAATAGTGTCAACTAACAAGGACCCCTGGGAGATCACAGAGATTAAACCACCAACCAGGGAGCATAAACGGGCTGGTCTGTGGCCCTTAGCACATGTGTAACAGAGGACTGCTTTGTCTGACCTCAGTGGGAGAGGACGTGCCTAATCCTATAGAGACTTGATGCCCAGGGAAGGAGTATGCCTGGGAGTGGGGTAGCACCCTCTCAGAGGTGAAGGGGAGGAAGAATGGGGTGAAGAACTCTGGGAGGGGGGCAAGATTTGGGATGTAAATAAATAATTAAAAAAATAAGAAACCTTTCCCTCTAATTTAGATTTGCTGTATAGAAAGACCCAAGATAGTTTTATATGACCAGACTTTTGAGGAATGAAGACACAGACCTGAGAAACTTTAGGTTGCATGCTGCATTTTTCAGAACCTCACACAGTGAGTGAAGTGTGCTGTCCAGTTTACCACCTTGTAGGGTCAGATGTGAGATGGTTTCATAACCATTAAAAACGAGGCACAATTTCTCATATGCATCATCTGGGGAGATATTTCTGAGGCTGAAGAAAATACAAAAGAGGAGCTCTTGAGTGCTGGTGAGATGGCTCAGTAAATAGACATACTTGACACCAAACCTGTCAACTTCAGTTTGATCCTAGGGACCCACGTAGTCAAATGAAAGATAATTCTGGCCAATTGTCCTGTGGCCTCCACTCACACAAATATATAACTGACATTCCTCTCCACACAATTATAAATATAATAAAAATTTCTAAAAAGCTGATTTTGACTTTCTGTACCTCTATTGTACAATAAACAGAAGCAAAGGAAGGCAGTATGATTACATTTTAGCTCCCCCAAATTAAACCACCACATTTTCAAGGCATTGTTGACAGACTTGTATTTAGGCTATACAGCATTGTTTTGTTATAGGTATACCTCGTCAGATAATTGACCCAACCATGATAATTAACATGTCTATCATCTTACACAGCTATAATTTTTTCACTTCATAGCTACAATCCCACAGCCATGAAATGATCAAGAAACACATAGATTTTGGGCGAGATGCTCCTTTATTTTGTTCAAACATATGATAATCTCTAGATAAGACAGATTTTTAAAAGATTTATTTTTAACTATGTGATAGTGTGTGTCTATGTATAGGTATGAATAAGTAAGTGGGTATATGCTTGTATGAATACAGCTGCCCTCAGATTCCAGAAGAATGTATCAGGTTCTCTGGACATAGTGTTACAAGAAAATGGATGGAAGATCATATTGTGTCAAATAAGCCATTTGTGTGTGTGTGTGTGTGTGTGTGTGTGTGTGTGTGTGTAATACAGGTTAATGCTCTCGTGTTATGTGTGGTGTAATCCGACCATATGGGAGGCAGGTAGATTTGTCAGAAGTCTTAAACCAACTTGGTCTACAGATGAGCTATTGGAAAATCAGGGATACATAGACCCCCATCTCAAAAGACCACCTAAACCACCCCTCTAAACCACCCCTCCAAACCACCCTCAGCTCTTCTCAGCAAATATGGAGTATATAATATTGATATTATAATAACATTACAGCATATGCTATTTCCAGATCTTACTCATCTCAACTCAAGCTTTGTCTCTATTGCCCAACATTTCTCATTAGAAACTATTTGAAGTCCTTGAAACCCTCGTGACTTATATCTTCCTAGATTTCAATTTTCTAGGCCTACAATCTACAGATTAACCGCAAGAGTGAAATGTTTCCCACACTCTGCACTCAGGCATTCAAGTTACAGACTTAACCTTTCCCATGTCAGTATTTTGACACAATTAATTTTATTCCAATTTCATTAACTTGCGTACATGCTTTTGGTAAAGGACACACACACACTGCCCAGTTGACTTTCTATGTTCATGCCTCAAACACACTGTTCTCTATCTTTCTCCATCAGTTGTTTTCAGCCAGTCATGATTCTGTGTCCCCTGGGGACACTAGATGATACCTGGATATCTGTAGACACTGAGGTATCTTATGACTGAAGGCAGAAAATGCTGTTGATATCTAGTATGTAGAGGTCAGGGAGGGACATTGTTCATTATTCTACAATATGTAGACCAGCCTTCCTCCCTCCAACAAATACATCATTCAAGTTCCCACAGAGGTTGGGGACTCTGTTCTATTTAGAGCCCAATGGTTGCCATAGTAGGACTCAAACTGCTTAGGGATCGTGATTTTTCTTATGGTATTTGTGGACATCAAAACTGTATCCTGCATTATACTGAAGTTATTATGTGATTCTTCTTTAGATAAACTTAATGGTACGGCTATCTAAATTCCCTGTGTCTTAGATACCTGGTTTGAGTCTGGGATATGAGTTTGAGGATTTTTCCAGTACTCTATAATTGTGAGTACTTTTGTTGTATGGTAAGGGGTTCTCCTCTGGAGATCAGCTCCTACTTACACCACTTTCTGGAGACAACAGGAAGCAGAGAGCAGCTTTTCACAAAGAATCTCCACCGAGGAGCTGTTGAGGAAGCTGTCGTGGATGTCTAGAAAGACCAGTTTCTCATTTGAATTAAATGTATCACAAAAGTCTGTCCAGAAAGTTAGCATGTGTCGTTCACCCTGGGACCTACAAAAACAAAGAGGCTAATTTTTATTTCTACATGTATTCATGTGTGCTTGCATGCTCCTGTGAATCTTCTAGCACCTTCCACCTTTTGCTTGAGGCAGAATCTCTCATTGGTTTGTAATTGCACCAAGGAGGCGAGGTCAGCAGGCATTTAAGCTTCCAGGGATCCACCTGTCTCCACCTTCCATCTTTTCATCACTGAGGTTACAGGCATTCACAACCTTGTGTTTTTGTGGGGGTTCTGAGGATCTAAACTCAGGTCTTTGCACTTGCCTCACTATAAGTGATTTAAGGATTGAGCTTTAAGGATTGGGCCATCTTCACAGTTTCTACAAAAGCTTTTGAAACTTGTCTATTATATCAGCATCCAATAAATGATTGCTACGACATTTTCCTGTGTACTTTGTTCTTCCTGGTTTATCTCGACTCACCTACCTGCTTCTTTCTGATCCACTTATGTTTTCATGCAACATATATTCTATTACCTGCAGTTCTTTTCTCTTAAGGCATCTTCCCATCTCATGGCCCTTGGTCTACTTTGCTTCTGTGTTGCTGAAATTAAATACCATGACCAAAAGCAACTTGTGGAGTAAAGGTTTTATTTTGCCTTTTTCTTCCTCATCACAGTTCATACTAAGGAACTGAAGTACAGGCCATGGAGGAATACTGATTACTGGCTCGCTCAATCTGTTTTCCAATATGCCCCTCTCCAGGAACACCAGCCTAGGAATAAAACCACCCACAGTGGGCTGGGTCCACTCAAATCATTATCAACCAAAAAATGTCTCAAAGACTTGCTTACAAGCCAATTTCTCAATTGATGTTTTCTTTTCTCTCAGGTGACTCTAGTTTTATGTTCACATCACAAAAAATTAATCAGTACAGTCTTGAGTAGTTTCATAACCTAACCTTCCTCATGTATATAAACACATAAAAACATTAAAATCTAGAATCAGTTTGAGAGAGAACATAGTATTTTTCTGAATCTGCCTTCTTTGGTTAGCAATTTCTAATTTTATTCATGTTCCTGGAACTGTTATGATTTCATTTTTATTTTATTTTTGTTTTTTTGGATATTTTATTTACATTCAAGATGTCATCTCCTTTATCCATCTCCCCTCTCCAGAACTTTCTATCCCATTCCCCCTCCTCCTTTTTGCTTTTATACCATTTTAATTACATGCATGTAGTAAGGTCAGTTCTAGGTTGAGGAACTAGCAATACAATAGATGCAAATAGTCAAGGAATAAGCAAGACAAAACACACATAGTCAAAGAACAAGCAAGGAATTAAACAGAGTCCCATGATCACTCCCATGATCACTGCTTCTAAGGGCTTATCAGGATGACCAAAATATCTGAGCCTGCTTCCCTATTTTAGCCCAAAGTCATTTTCATGTTTGAAGCCTACTTTCCTTGTTCTAGCCTAAAATTTAGATTCCTGTCTGAAATTACTTCTTTGTTCTAGCCTAATGTCAGATTTCTGCCTGAAGCCTACTTCTTTAATAATATTTAGTCATTTGCAGCAAAACAGAGGACATTATATAAAGTGAAGTAAGATGGACAATTACTTAACATTCTCTCATATATAGTAATTTAAAAAAAGACATTGAATATTGAAATAGTGCTTGAGGTTGAGAAAGGTACAAGGTTAAGGGATGTTAGGAGAGAATGTATGGATTTGAAAATTTATGATTTATGTGTGTCAGTTTTTGCCTGCATGAATGCCTTTGCACATGTGGGCAAGAAGAGGGTACTATATTCCCTGAAACTGGACTTACAAACAGTTGTAAATCACCATGAAGGTTTTGGGACTTGAACCCAGGTCTTCTGGCTGACCAGCAAGTGCTCTTATTGCTGAGCTGTCTCTCCAGGTCCTCAAAATACCTTTAATTTCCATTTTCATAATGGCTAATGATGTTGTATTCTTAGGAAAAGCAGAAAAGCATCTATAAGTGGGTAAAACAAAAAAATTCTTTAAGGATTATTTAGAGAATGGTGTTCAGAGAAGTGATGCTTTAGCTGAATGGAAGTATGCATGTGGAACATTCATTAGAAGCTGTGTTTCATCTCACTGGTGAACATAGCAAATAGTTTTAATATTTGAAAGCAATACAGCGTAAGGCCTTCAAGTGGAACATATTTAATAAAATCTCATTTAGAAAGCAAAAAAGGCTTTAAGTGAGAAGATAACAGAGCACATACAATGTGAGGACAGGCAAGATGACTCACTGGGAAAAGGTGCTTGCTGTCAAGCCTGATAAATTCAATGTCTAGGAAACATGAGATTCAAAGAGAAAACTGGTTTTTGTAAGCTCTCCTCTGACTTTTGCACACACATACTTAATAAACGAGTTTAATAAAAACATATGTGAGGTAAAAGTGGAAGGTGGGGATATCGATGAGTAAAAGGGCTTAAGCATAAATGGTGAGCAGGGAGATGAGGGAGACAGGCAGGAGAATCCACTATGTATGAAAATGCTGTATGGAAAGTAATAAAACAACTGCTTACCAGGAGAGAGGAGAACATAGGACTTAAGATGCTTGACTCTCAGGTTGGCATCCTTAATTATATCATCATTTTCGCTTTTATTATTAATTAGGAAGGAAGCTGAACAGGTACAAAATGTCCTACCCTGACCTACAGAGGATGACATACTTCAGCTTCTTACTAAATACACGAGGGATGAGTTGAAGGATAGAAGTACCTTTAAGAAGCGTGCAAGGAAAATAGGGTTCTTACCTTTGATCCTTAGTAGTGGACTCCAGTGTAGCAACATCCTCTGGGAAGACAGCTTTTTCTAATTTCAGGGACATTGTCTGCAAGTTCCGAGAGTTCTTGAGGCAGAATGAAGCATGGATGAGGTCCGTGTTGGTTTTCAAATGCAAGGAGATGTCCTCAAAGAGGGCCATGGCTTCTTTCACAAACCCCTCCTCTTGAGATTCATAGAGACAGGACAAGATCTCCTGCATATTCATCAGTAATAGGAAGGGTTTATTTTCCTCTGACTCACACTCCAGGAATTTTCTCTTGACCCCAATTGATATTTGGCAGCCAAAAATGGTCTCCAGCTCTTGAATATGAGTCTTGTTCAGGAGGCCAAATACAAATGGCAGCATTCCAGACAGGTTGGGGTTTTTTAATCTTGCTTCCTTTGAAAGCATATTATGTATACTATATTTAGAGACACCCTTGCTTTCTTGCCCAAGTTCCTGAACAAATATTATGGCAGCCAGGAGCTGCTGGATAGTGAGGCAGATGAAGGAGAGACAGTTTGTACTGGAACTGTCCTTAGGGAGGATGTACCTGCACACGGGGTGCAATTTATTCAGGTTCAATTTTAATTTCAAGAAGTCTTCTTCATGGAGTGTGGGCGCCTGTTCCAAGAGACTATTGGCAGCCAAGATACATATTTTCTTGAATAAGATTTGGAGTTGCTTGTTGAGATGGCCCTCACAGATTTCTGGTGAGAAGATACTGTAGAGGAAGTTCAGGAACATAGAGGTGTGGGTCTTACATATCAGAGCCAGGTCTTTCCCCTTCTTCATCCCTAGCTCCAGAGAGAGGCAGAATATCCCACATGCAGCAGGAAGTGAGGCCATTTGGAAGAGAGCAGCATTGCATCTGACTTCCTTGAGAGCTCTCAGTGCCTTTCCCCTACCGTTATCCTCCTCCTCACCCTCTTCATCTTCAAAGTATTTCTGAAAGTACTCCTGCTTTTCCTGCTCGAAGAAGCCTCGAGTTTCTACTAGGACAGGCTGATCCATCATGAGGTAGATTTGGTGCAAAGCCTGTGTCCGTGTGGTTACCAGCAGTGTGCCATCAGGTACTAGCTTCCTCTTCAGCAAACTGCCCAGTAAGACCTCTACAGGCTTCACTGCGTCCCAGTCACCACAGATGTCACTGATTAGAGCTTCTGCTGGGAATGTCAGCTCATCAAAACCATCCACCACAAATAAGAATTTCTCTCCCAGGAATAGACCCTGCATCACAAAATCCCTCCAGGAGGCATCGTCCATGGAGAGGAGGTGGGCAAAAGTGCAAGGTTTACTATTATTAAGTTCACTGCAGCTGATGTAGAAGGCAAACCAGAAAGTCTGGGCTTGCTTACTCTCTGACCATTCTAGCATTAGCCTCTTTGCCATTGTGGTTTTTCCAGAGCCTGGAGGGCCATGCAGCACAATTGTATGAGCAAATGGCTTTTCTGTCTTCGGGTTACACAATGCCAGGAGTGTTCCGTAGCTATCAGTATCCACATAGATTTCTTTATTGCATTTAGGCCAGAAGTTCTTCTTCCATTTTTCTGTGTATATATTCTTCCATTTCTTTTTTTGCTTGTGCTCTTTACCATCAATGATGGGGGTGGGGTGAGGGGATAGACAGAACATAGTTGGTTATTGTGAAAAACTCTCTTGTATGAAGTAGAAAAGGAAAATGAAGAACACAGCTTTTAAAGAGAACTTCAATTCATGTTTATTTCAGCAAGATGTGATGAGGATATCTTATATTTTTATGCAAATGTTCTTTAAAAAAGAGTTCAATTAGAAAGAATTTAAAAAGCTTTAACTATAGGCACATGAGTGTGTGGGGGTATAAACATGTAAATGCAGTGCCCATAGATGCCAGAGGAGATTATTGGATTCCCTGGAGTGGAATTACAGGTAGTTGAGAACAGCCTGATATGGGTTCTGGGACCCAAACTCAGGTCTTTTGCAAGAGCAGCATGCATTTCTTACTGTTCAACCATCTCACTAGCCCCTATTTCTTTTAGCCTAGAGAAATGAAAATTCGGGAAAATTGCTTTCTACTATTGAAAAGTAACTTTGTTTAGAATGTTTAAATTCTTTTTTTTATCTATTAAAATTCTCATAGAGGAGCTGGGGAGATGGAACAGTTAGTTGGTAAAGTGTCTGCCACATTAGCATAAGGATCTGAGTTGAGTCTCTAGCACTTATGTGAAAGCTGAGCATTGTCACCTTAGTGCTATGGGATAGGCTGGGTAGAGACAACCATGTCCCCTTATGTTTGATAGACAGCCTAGCCAATCTGTTAGCTCCATATTCAGTGGGAAGCCTTATCTCAAAAGATAGAGTAGAGAATGATAGAAGAGGACAGTTAATGTCAATATTTGGCTTCCATATGTGCACACATGTATAAAATCAGATGCACACGCGCCACACCCCCCAAATTTTCATACATGTATATATTCACATAAGCACATTGAGGGTATTCCTCTAGATCTTATCTCCATCTTATTAACCTTCTTTGTTGCCTAAGAGAATTTCCTTTTAATTTTTATCACAGCTACCTTTACTCCTTCTGAGACTGTCTTAGTCTAAGGTTTATGAGGTTTACCTCCTGCATTTGTATAATTGCAAATTTTGTCCAAGTTTTGAGCCTGGAAGTACAATGGGTAGTTCATAGGGAGGAAGAAGAGTACACAGCTGTCTTAACAAGTCAGATGCCTCTTCTTGATACCCAAACTGATGCTCACAGGTTAGCAATGACAGTTTAGTCAAGAGATGCTTTTTAAAAGGGAGTAGTTATTACTAAAGCAACTTGTAACTGGTCCAGCAAGAGTAAGACTATATTGAATCATCTGCACCTGTGTCACCTCCAAGACACAGGGAACATTGAAGAAGAGGGTGTAAAAATATAGGAATCAAAGGAAAGGTAGTGTTTTATAAGGTATGGCATCATTATTATCATTATTATAGTCTTAAACTCTAGAATCTGAGATCACCTGCACATAACCTGGCCAAGACTGAACTGGTGAGCATTTATCATAAAGCAGAAAAGCATCATACAACGTCTCCCTTGAGGATTTATTGTCAGGGAGTGGCTCACAAGGCTGAAAACTTTTGTGAGAATCTATAAGCGGTAGTGATTATAATGGTTGGTACACATTTTTTCCATCATTGTAGTCACTGGTAAGGTGTCTATGCTTGCATGAGCAGCCCTAATGAAAATTCATTCTCTCTCTCTCTCTCTCTCTCTCTCTCTCTCTCTCACACACACACACACACAAACACACACACAAACACACACACGCACAAATAGAAAAGGGAGTACTAGTTGGGAAGAGAAAAGGTTGCAGGAGTGGAAAGGGGACAAGAAAGGTAATGTGGGTGAATAAGATACAATACATATGTATGAAAATGTCATTAAAACCATTACTATATATAGTTAAAATATACTAGTCAATACTTAAAAAGTTGTCAATGCAGTTTGTTAGAATAACTTGTCTGTTTTCTCTACTGGACTAGAACAAGTCATGAGAGCTCAGAAAATGAATCCTCATGGTATCCACTGGTAGCTCATTATTACTGCTTGCAAACATTAGTGGAGAGGAAGTTGAGTGTTATTTAATTATAACACATCCCACCTCTCAGGCACCTACAAAAGGAGAGTGGAAATATATTTATATGAAGACTTGTGTACATATGTGCTATAAGAGACCAGGATTTGATGCTGCAAACTATCTCTTCGGTATGAGAATTAATTTGTACTAACAATGGAAAATGAAAGAATATAAAGGGGTAAGGAAAAACTCCCTTACTCCTTTGCCTCTAATTAGGGTTTATATCTTTACAAAGGGGAGGTGGCTTTCAACTGGAGAAAGCATAGAGAATCTGTATGGTTTATTCTTGTTCCTTTACTATGCCTTGTGGCACACATCTACTTTCTTTCTCCATTTTCTGAAATTCACAATTCATTGCTGGAAGTGCTCTATAAGCCAGAATTGTAAAAAATTGAATTGATAGTATTTTTCATCTGCTGGGTATCTCCCACATAAAGAAACAGGTATGTCATATAACTTCAATTTTTGTCCTAATCTTTCTTATTATTGAGGATCCAGGCAATCAAAGTCAAAATGCTTAGAAACAAACATTTTTTTTTGTCTGTACAGTTCATAGAAGTATTATGCAAAACTGGAGAAAAGCTGAAACATTTAAGACCTTAATGTGAGATTTGAAATTCTGAGTAGTGCTATGTCTGAAATGTCACATTCTACCCAAGGATCAGGGACCATTGCAGAAGAGGGAGTAGAAAGATCCGGTGGATATCCGACAAGGAAAGTATTTTCAGGACCTGACAGAGAAGCTGCACATGTGAACTTGCTGAAGTTCTTGCAGCATGTACAAATCTCGTGTAAGGTCAAGCCAGACAAAATCCCACCATAGTTGCAGGGGGGATGGGTGACTTGGGGTAGGCACAAAGTCCTACCCTAGCTGAGGAACTATTGGCAATTGATAGATCCTGGAGGGAGGAAAGAAGAGCTTGTTTTAAGAGTGTGACCTCTTGGTAGACAGACTATGTTTTAGGGCAGTCTCCATACCCACAAGACATTGGACAGTACAAATCTGACTCCATGGATTAAAAACAGAGTATTGGGAAGTTGGGAAGATGGGGTAGATCTTGGAGCAGTTTGGATAAAAATGGTGAATATGATCAAAATGAAGTATATGAAATTCTCAAAGGATTAATGAAATTATTAAACATTATTATTAAAAATAGTAAGACAATACTGTTAGAGAAGAGTTCAAGATATGGATTTAGATAAGTACTTTGAGTTTGAAGCCAGCCTGGCATGTAGAGTGAGTTCCAGGCCAGCCAAGGCTACACAGAGGAACCCTGTCTCAAAAACAAAAACAAAGAATACAAAGAATACAAAGAATCAATGAAATGCGAAAAAAAAGATAGACAATCCTTATCCAAACTAACTAAAAGACAGAGAGAGACTATCTAAATCATCAGAGTCAGAAATGACGAGGATATAACAGACACAGGGAAAATCCAAAGAATTATCAGGTCTTATTTTAAAAATCTGTACTTCACAAAATTGGAAAAATCTAAAAGAAAATGACAGATACCATTTACCAAAATTAAATCAAGACTAAATAAACGATTTAAATAGACCTATATCCCTAAGGAAGTAGAAGTAGTTATTAAGTGTTTCTAAACCACACCTTCTTCTCAGAGGTAAAGGGGAAGGAGTGAATAAAGAGAGTAGCCATATGAAGGGCATTGGGAGGGAGTGGTGGGGGTGGGGGTGGTACTGTGATCAGGATGTAAAATGAAGAAAGAGAAGAGTTACCTACAAAAAGAAAAATTTCCCAACCCAACCAAATCAAACAAACCCCAAACTAAACCCTAACAGTCCAGGTGGTTATAGTGCAGAATTCTACCAATGCTCTTCAAATTATTCCACAAATTGAAACAGAAGGAACATTGCCAAATTTATTTAAGAGGCCATATTGATGCTGATACCCAAATCATACAAATATTCAACAAAATAAAGGGAATTATGGAGCAATTTTCCTTATGAACATAGATGAAAAAAAAACATTCAAAATACTTGTAAACTGAGTCTAAGTATACATCAAGAAGATAACCCACTATGGCCAAGTAGGCTTCATCGCAGGGATGCAGGAATAGTTCAACATGCAAAAATCAGTCAATGGAATACACCACATAAACAAACTGAAAGAAAAAAAACATGATTTAACTAGATGATGAAAAAGTCTTTGACAACACCCAACACTACTTCATAATAAGTCTTGGAGAGAGCAGTAACATAAAGAACATACCTAAACATAATAAAGTCACTTTACAGAAGGTCAGTAGCCAACATCAAATTAAATTGAGGGAAACTCAAAGCAATTCTACTAAAAGCAAGAACAAGATATGGCTGTCCACCCTGTCCATATCTACTCAATATAGCACTTCAAGTTCTAGCTAGAGCAATAAGACAACTGATAAAGAGATCACAAGGCTGTGAATTGGAAGAGAAGGTATTGACACATGATATGGTAACATAATAGGTACCACAAATCTATCAGGGAACTCTTAAGATCACCTTCAGTGAAGTGGCTGGATACAAGATTAAGTAAAAAAAAAAAAAAGTAGCCCTCCTTTATACAAATGACAAACATACTGAGAAAGAAATCAGGGAAACAACACCCTTCACAATAGCTACAAACAACATTATTTACTTTGGGGTAACTCTAACCAAGCAAATGAAAGGCTTATATGGCAAAAACTTCAAGTCTTTGAAGAAAAAAAGTTGATTAAGGCATCAGAAGATGAAAAGATTTGCCATGCTCATGGATCAGTAAGACATAGTAAAAACGGCCATCCAACCAAAAGCAATGTACAGATTCAATACAACGTCCATCAACATCCCAACACAATTCTTTATAGGTATTGAAAGGACAATACTTGACTTTATATGAAAACCAAAAATCTAGATATCATCATCCCTGATTCCAAGCTGTCCTAACAGAGCTATGATAATGAAAACCACATGGTATTGGCATAAAAACAGATACTGTGACATAT